GTAAAAATTTAACCATATTTTCACGGTACCTTTTCGATTGAATTTTGATGTTATTAGTTGATTCTAAAATAAGAGAGATTGATAGAAAGAAATAGAAAATATGTTTTAAATTTTTGAACCGTGCTTTTTTCCTCATTCTCTCGTCGCTCTTTGAAAATGTTGTCTTTTAATCGCTTTAACAAATCAAGATGAAAACAGTTTGTCTTTCCTCTTAGTACCGTGTTCAGCTCATTAGTGCTACTTTAGATCGCTTAAAACTACTTCTAGATATTTTAAGATATCTGATGTTATTTCGGTCAACTTTGAACTACTTAGAACTATGTTATGCTAGAAATAATATTCGGAAAGATAAAAAAAAAAACTAGACGTGACGAAATGTATAGATCAGACGAGATTTTAGCCTAACTTGGTTTAAAGTAGTATTAAACTTGATCTCACCGAAATTTTTTGTGTAAGACCAAAGATAATTGCATAACAAAGCCCCAATTTAAATTTTCTCAAGAGATTCCTAATTTCTTTCCAAAAAGAAATAGAACAACGAAATAGATGAATATAGCCATACAATCTTAACAGTTAGTTGTATCGTTCTCTACATATACATCAATTGATTATAGTATACTAGAAAAAGTCAGATCGGCTGTTTAGAGTTACTGAGCATTAGAGAGTCAAAATTCTACGATTGAAAAAGTAAAGATGATAAATTTATTTCATTAATGTTGACTAAAAATTCAAACAATAATTAATCATGACATTGCCTAAGAATCTCAGATCTCTTTAATCAATGAATTAAACAAAAATTGTGCTATTTCAGAAGCAATCTATCCAATAACTATGAGTAGATAGAAGCATAACAAAAAAAAACAGTAGAAAAAAAAGATACTATTTTGCTAATTCTCTTGTCTTATCATAAATTAATTACAGTTAAGTAATCTACAAAACTCTTGCCTATCAGTGATATAGTTAGAAGCTTTTTAATAAAAATATCAAAACAAAAAGTGGACTTTCACTTTATCGAAAGTACTTCTTAGTCAAAATAGTTTTATGCTAAAGTATACAGAAAGAGGAAAACGTACAAAAAAAAATTGATTAATTACTGTACTAAAACTATACAAAAAGTTGGAACGAACATAAAAATAAGAGTTTGAAAGTAGATGTTAAAGATAAATTTTGTTAATCAAATTTTATATTTAAAGAATCTATGTAAAGATGAACGGTCACTTTCTGTCATACAATTTATCTCAAAGCAATTGCTTTTCAAGCTTAAATGAAATTTATCTACAGGCATTGTCTGATAATTCATAGATCATTATCTTATCAAATTTTTGGAGCTACTATACCGATGATAATTTCAGAACTTTTATGTGACAAATAATATTTCTCGAGAACCAAATTAGACCATAAACTACTCGCATGTTTCATTTATTTGTGATAAAAAAATAGAAAAACATAAGTTTCAGAGGAATAATTTCCTTTCGAATTTTTCGAGAAATCTATCGCTTTAAGTTTGTAGTAATGAAAAGATCAAAGATATATGTCAATCTCGGTATCATATTTTTTTAAAAACTTTCATGTTTGAAAAAAAGATATTTTTTAATTACATAAAATTTTATCTTAAAAGAATAACAATTGCGATTTGCAACTAAATTGTAGATATTATTGTTAATGTAATGATGATAATGGTAAAGCTTTTGAATGTATCGATTCATCATTAGTACTCAATTTAACTTACTCTATCAATTGCCATTATTACACTAATAACAACAGCTACAATATAGCAGCAAGCCAATACTATCATTCTTTTATGAATAAGTCCTATCATCACCTTTGTATTGATTCTAAAATTCATCTTTTCAATAACTTGATTAAAATTCTGTTCTGAAGTCTGTTAATCACAATAAAACATTGGATTATTACAAATTGAAGCTAGGCCATAATTAGTCCATGGTGTAGAAATCAAATCACTGAAAGTATACACAGCATGATCCAGACTGACATAAGTAGTAACAGGGCTTGTGTATCCAGTAGCACAGAACGATGTTATTTCAACATAGGTTTTAGCACATGCTTTACATACTGTAGTGCAACTTGCAATTCCATTTACATAACCAAAGCTGGCATGAAATGCATACTAAGTATTATTTACATAAGATTCTGAAAAAGTTGTTTCACTCAAATAAACAATTAGATAAGCAAGTCTCATAGCACTGCGTGTGTTTGTACATGAATGATAGCGAATTTTTTGAACACTATGATAACCATTGCTAGTTATTTTTACAAGTAGTTATAGTTAATGTAGCTAACCAAGACAATTTTCTGATGTATAACAGTTATTATATTTTATTCTTGAAGCAATCTCTAATGGTTCATATTTCTTTTTCGAGATGGGATCTAATAATTGATATAATTTGCAAAGAAAAAAATAAATTTTTGATTATTTCAGATTAATCGAATACATACTATACGAATGATTTAATAAAAGGTTTTTTTCTACTCTAGATCATTTATTTCAACATGTTTTTATCAATAACTCAAAAAACAGTGAACTGAATAATACAAAACCAAAACAATTATTAGCATAATAAATATCATTTTAGATTTCTATTTCAAAATTTCTTCATAATGGTAGAAAATGTCGTAGTATCTGATGTTGCTATTGTACTCGTCGTTGTAATCACTATTGAAAACTAATAATTTACTACTTTTTCCATGACGAAATTTAATACTGCCAACCAAAAACATACTTGTCGTCGTAAATTGAGCATGAGATATATATAATGGAACACTAATAGCAGCATCTATAGCAAGAACAATTAGTATGCTTCCTATTGTACAAATAATTGATCATAAACAGTAATTGAGATTATGTATATACATATGTAAAATAGTATACAAATACGTTAACAGATACAGTAGAAATATAATTCATTGGCACATAATTTTGCTGCGGTGCGTACGGAATGGTTGTCCAAACAGAAGAAGATTCATTCCCCAATACATATGAAAGATAATCAGTTATATGAAATTAAAATTTCTTTCTAGTTATATTTTTTAAATTACTTAGTATCATTTCGATTTTGTATCATTATAGTGCATAAAATAATTTAATATGGCTTATTTTTTCATTCTAATTGAATATTTGATTTTAACAACTATATATAAATCTGAACATAGATATATTCACTGCAGATAACTGAGTATTTGGATAAGGACAATATGCATTCATCATGCAATCAATGTTACATACTTATTTTTCAATTGTTAAGTACGAACTGAAGTTTATCAAAATGAAGATATGCTTTGAAAAAGTATTTATTTTTGAATATTTTCAAATTATATTATTTTTCAATGTAATTGTATTGAAAAAGAATGACAAAATTACATTAGTGATTGTAAAAAAATTCAAAAAACAACTCTTGATGCATGTTAAGGATAAAAGGGTGTATCTGATTCAAAATTCAAGTTCGATTTGATTTGAAGATAACATATTAAGAAAAATACACAATTTCACGTGCATAATGATAGCGTCTACAATAAATAAGACAATCCTTGATGCAGTTATTTAGTACAATATATTTTTCTTTCTTGTATTTAAGATTCTTATTTGTAGACGAATTTTGTTGTTTTTTTGGAAGAAATATTCAATTTTGCGTTTTTTTTTGTTTCAATAAAGAAAATAATGTTGAATCACTTCTCCTGACAATCCATCCAAGAGAGAAAAGAGTATTTTCATGTAGATGTATTATATGTTATTGAGTATATGTCGCAATTAAAAATTCAAAAAAACGAGCCAAACTTCTATTTATATAAATAAACTATAATAAAATATGAGAACATATTTTTCTAGAAGTTTAGAATATGAATTAACATCTTATTGCATGTTAGTTTATTTCATGATCTGACTGAATGTAATGTAATAAAAAAATTTGTTTCTCTTTTCTGTCTATGATATACTTTTAAGTATACTTGTATACTCTTGAGATTTAATTTATCATTGATTCATTCATGAGAAAACTAATTTAGATGACAACAGAAAATAGATGCATCCCTTATGCTTGTTATTTACATAAATTCAAAGTGACAGAATAGCACGAATATATAAACAAACTAGAACATAAAATTAGATAGACATATTTTGAGTTAGAATTTTTCTGAGAAATCATGATAATTATTAATTGGATCAGAATGTTATGCTAAAGATATGTCTTCACGTAGCTGAAATTTTCCTATATACTATGATTTATAATTTATGATAGAGGATTGAAGTTTTTCATGGTAATAAAGACACAATCAAGATGAACTTGTTTAACTTTTTTATTACGGGACCCGTATATATAAATGAGAATTGAAGTTTTAGGCAGATTATAACTTTTACAAACATCTCTCTTGCTTTTGACATAGAGTATTCTGTCTCTTCCTGATACTTTTAATATTCGAACATCATTATATGCTATTTCTCTACATCTATATCAAGTAAAAAGGATAAGATTGAGGATTTAAAGATCTATGAGAATTCATAGACTCTCTCTTAATTCTCAAAGTTGTCCAAAAACTTTGTGAAACTAAATAAAAATCTGCAAAATTACCTCGAATCCTAGATTTCGTATGATGATATGAAATCACAGGACTATTTATGGAGCTACGCGAACGATTCCATAATTTTTTTGCACAACCCTATTTGATTGTGAACATACTGAATTTTATAGTGTTAGTTGAAGCCTAATGCCATTTTTTCTACTTCCATGTGTGATTTCTCTCGTTATTAACGAGTTTTTTTTTCTTTTCAACATAAAATGAAGAAGAATATTGACATCTATGAACGATTTTTCTCACTTGATCATCATTATAGAGGGCTTAATCACTTGACCAATGGTCAACAATGCTCACAACGATATTGACCATTGTCCGTTTGAGCACAATCAAAACGGTCAAAATAAAACATTCGTTCTTTTATTTCATTTATCAATAATTTAATACAATTCAACCTTTTTAAGCAATAAATTATGCCTCAAAGAACACTTTTAATTACTGATTTCTTCGCTAAATGTCGTTCGACATCTGCTTCAAATGCTGCTCTTTTTGAAAAGCCTATGAAAGTAATTAAAATCGATGAACAATCAATCATAAAACATGAACAAATCGATGTCAATCTTGATCAATGCACACCGAATCTTTCTCTCGAAGCAAATACATCCTCATCACTATGTAAGAAACGTAACTGATAAAAAAAAAATTAGCATATTAAATGACAGTTTTTCAATCTCTTTGTTTTAGCAACAACAGAAAATCATGATACAATTCAATCAAATGAAATTCTTTCAGATAACAAGGGTTCATTACGAGAAACATCTTCAACAAAATCATTAATACCTTCTCGAATTAAATTTGTACGTCATCATAGTGCTCCACTTCATCATCGTAGTCCAATTAAAATGCGCGAAGGTTCAATAGAACAACAAGATCTTGATGATATACGTGCACGTATTCGTACATTTAGAAATGATTTATATAAATATAAATCAACATATTCTCGTTCACCTATGAAACGTCCTAATATCATCGGAGATATTCTATCAAGTCCATTTAAACATCCTACACCACAAACACCAGTAAAAAGGTATAAAATATATTAATCATACATCTTCAATAATAATAAAACTTCTGTTTTTAGTTATCCATCTATTCCAGCTTATGAACGCTTTAATTCACTTGTAACAACCATAGAATTACCATTACCAAATAAATATGAATTATTACTTGAACAATATAAACATCTTGATTTTCTTGTTTGTCATTCACATAATAATGGAGGTATAAGTACATTTGAAAAAGTTCAACATGTTATACAACAAAAAACTAAACGGTAGTTATATTATAAAATTAAAGTTTTTAATTTCAAATGAAATTATTTAGAAATTTTACTTTACAAACACTTGGTCGTATTAAAACAGTTTATCCAATAATGTTTAGTTTTCAACAAGAAAAAATTCAATTACCAACATTAAGTCCAATTAAACTTAAATATGAATTAACAATTACTCCAAGTATTTTATTTCTAGATGATGATTCGATATTCTTTTTTATTGATTTTATTTTAGCTGATTTTGGTATTGTATCAAATATTCAAATAACTCCATCAATTATTATTGAACGTATTGATTGTTTTCGTCGTGCTTTATTTGATCTAGTCAAAAGACATCATCGAGTAAAATGAAAAACATTCTTCAAAAAAATTAATATACAGTAGAAAAGCAACAATTAGTCGCATGTTTGACAGATGTTTCGTTCTCTTTTTACTTCCCGCAAACTTTAATTTACACATCAGGGATTCAATCACACAGTGCACAGTGTCAAGTTGAGAGCGGCATATAAAAAATCAAGATGTGCACCATAGAATGGATAAGTCGAGGGTCTTCCAGGTAAACGGTAGCTAAATATTGACATTCACTTTTTGAATTTATCGAAATACTCGAAGGAAATGAAGACTAATTATTGCACAATAGTGAAAATCACACCATGTAGAAGTTAAAAAATGAGGTGGATTATGAGTTTTTCAAAGCAACGATTATATCCTCTCGTATAATGCTTCATAGAGAATAAGACGTGTTTAGTAAACATTAATATCTTTATTCATATCGTATGTTCCTTGTCCTTGAATAGATTGTTAGTTATTCTTTGAACATCTATGAGTTGCTTCTCTATAATATTAATAAAATTTGTTTGACAATTTTATTTTTCAGCATTATCACAAATTATCGTAGATCCATGTACAGTAGCTCTCGAAATTTTTCAACACCACTTTTTTTTTCTACTATTGTAAATTCTAACAAGAAGTTTTTGGAGATGAAAATAATTGCTGATTTTTTAAGAATAGAATTTCTGAAAAACCAAAATTTAAGTTCTACAATTCATGAAATTTGCAAATAGAATTCTGTTTGAATTGCCTAGATTAATAATTGTCTAGTAAAAAAAAAAATGTCGTTGTGTTCTCTACGACATTCTCTTTCAACCGGAATACACCAACCTGACCGAAGACCCAGTAATGATGCTTATGTACGAAACAACAGAACAAACAATTATTATGTTCGCCGTCTAGTTGATGTATTCCAATCAAAAAACGTTGGAAAGAACACAACGACATTTCATTTGTTATAAATTGTCAATATATTATTCTAGGTAATTCAAACCTATCCTTGAAAAAGCACCAATCAGTTTCATGGAAAACAATCATCATTTGGATTGTTATTGATGTTTATGACATTGAAAATGAATCTAGTCGAGTAATTTTAAGAGCTACTATTTATATATAATATATTTTGTAGACATTTTTATCAAATAAACTTCAATTGGCAGTTGAAGAACTTCCTAATGATGAAAATCTTTCACGTTGGCATCCAGATTTTGATCTATTAAATATTCCTGACATTGATATATCATCATTACCTGAATCACCAGATAAAGAATATAAACAATTGGTAGCATCACCAATTGAAATACGTCATTATGCTGAAAAGACACAATCACAACGTGTTAAACGTGCTTTATTTTCAACATTTTCAAATGATGATATATCATCAACAATAACACTATCATCACCAACTAAAGAAACATATTCAATCGATGGAATATCTTCATCATTAATTGAAAAAGTAATTTTTTTTTAGTTTTGTTTTCCTTCGCATCAATAATAAAATCAAAACTGATCATTTTTGTTTTTGTATTTGTAAAGATTCGTTCAAAGGAAACAAATAAATTATTATCAAATACAATTGATAAACAAAAACAAATGTTGTCTTATGTTGAACAAACAATAAGTATTGTTCAACAATTTTTTATTGCTGAACGTGCAACATCACTTCAATTAGATCATGTTGCAAAACAAGTTCGTGATTGTCATTCCGGTCACCTTTCATATAGTAAGAAATAAATTCTATTGAATCATGTTAATTATTTTATTTCAATAAATTTAGATCAATCAACGGAAACTCTTCATTTCCTTCATACATATCCGGCAAATAATGGATGGCTTTCAATAATGAGTATTCGAGGAAGACAATTTATCAAAATTAATCGACATAAATCAATTAATACAATCATAGAAACTATTCAACGAGAATTATAAAGTTGAAAAATATGAAAAAAAAAAATTTTCTTTTTTCTCATGTAAAAAGACGAAGAAGGATTTTGTTTTAGTTCGACAACATCATGCAATTGTTAATCTTATGATCTAATTGAAATTTCATGTTTTTCTTTCCTTTTTCCTTTTCCCTTTTTACTTTCTATATGAACATTTCTATGTCTATTGGGAGCCTATAAATTATTGTTCGAACTCGATCAGCTGAAATGTAGATAAGCTATGAACAAAATAATAATTTCATTTTTTTCTTTTTTATTAGATCGAGTGGATAATATAATACTTTGAAGTTTATCAATAAATTATGAATTAATTTTCGCATATTAATAGGTTTTTTTTCTTCTTTTTCGGTATTATCATTATTCATTTAGCGTAAGATAAATTCTTGATAAAAGAGAATCATCAATTAGAACCATATGACTGTTAGTTTATGGTTTCAAATACAATCAATCAATTTCAGTTACTTCACAATCGTCTCGTATTCATTAGAAAAGTCAAAATATATCTATTCTTCAATGAAACATTATTTAAAGATCAAAGTACCGAAAGTATCTAACATATGACAATCACATAGTCAAAAATGTACATGTGTGTGTTTTGTGATTCATAACTTATTCATTTCTCAATTGATCAAATTCGAAACATGATCTTCTCGAGTAATAGAAGAATTACAAATTTTAGTAATCGATCAAGAAATTCAATTATATATATATGTCTCGATAAGTTGATGAACACAATTGAATCTAATTTAATAATCTAATTTTCTTTCTTTTTCTTTTTGAGGGTTTGTTTATATCTTAATTAATATCTTTCTCAAACGAAAAATAAGATTATCATATTGCATGATTTTGTAACATAACAAAATCAATTGAAATAATAATACAATGTGTATATTTCATTTCATTTCGTTCTCGTACTTTCTTTGTTTTATTTCGTCTCTTTGTTTCTCTGTGTGTATGTATTTATAAATGTCTTACTCGAAATCATTTCATCGCAGTCTGTTATCAATGCACGCAAATGCGCGAAAAACACTAGTATTACATCAACAATGAAACAAAAAAAAATGAACATATGAATTGTTGTGTGTGTGTGTGTGTATGAAAAAAAACAAGAAGCCAACGAACAAACAAAAAAAATAAAGCCACATGTTTTTTCTTATCTCATCACACAGCCTTCGTTTGTCTTCACTCACATACGTACAAAGAGACACGCACAAAAAAAAAGAAAAAAAAAGGAAGGCGACTGGCTGCCTAGCACGGCCAAGAAACAAGAAAAAAAGAGATGAAGAAAAAAAAAGAAAGAAATGAAGAGACCGACCAAACGGTGACAACAACAACAACGGCAACCAAGGACAGAGAAGAAGAAAAAGATAGAGCGACGGTCATGCACACACACAGACACACACGCATCAGCATCAACATCATCAAAATGGCACTCGAGACGAAGTGAAAAAAGAAGAAGAGTGAGAGAGACAGACAAGAAGAAAAAAAACGGCACACACGAGAGAAACTTGGTGGCTGAACAATGAACAAAAGATCCACACAAGTTCTCTCATTCAAGCCAGAAGATCGCAAGAAACAAGGAGAGAAAAAAACTGGGGAAGGCTAGAGAAAAAAAAAAAACAAACAAACAAATGATTGGCTGTTTCATCAATAGATCTTCTATGACAGATCCTATAGAATGACAAGGAAATAATAAAAAACAATCATAGTTTTTCTTCTAACTTACTTGTGAAGTAACAAGTGATGGATCATTTTGTGGTGGAGGTGGTGGTGCTGATTGTTGTTGTGGTTGAGGTTGAGCTGCAACTGTTTGTTGTGGTGCCGACATAAAAAGTGTTGCATGAGGATGTCCATGATGATGTGGTGGATTAACTAAACAAAATGCACCCGGATGACCATTAGCTATTTGTAATTGTTGTAATTGTTGCATCGGTAAGACAAATGTGGCACCACTTTCAGGTCCTGGTCCATGTGATAATTGCATGTAGGACGGAATAGCTGGATTAAAAACGCCTAATGGCGGTCGAAGTTGTGCTGCTTGAGCATACATTTGATGATGACCTGGATGTGGTTGATGTGATGGTGGACCGGATACAATTGGTGGTGGTGCTTGTTGTTGTTGAGAAGGAGCTTGTTGAGGAAGCATTTGTGCTGACATGGGTGGCCATGGTGGAAATACAACAGCTGGTGATTGATAAGAAACTGTTTGATCCATTGGATATAATGGATGACCACTTTTCATGTCCTTTAGAAACAAGAAGCAATCAAATGATACATTCAATAATGAAATATAATTTACACTTACATCTAAACCTGTTTTATACAATTTTTTATTTTTATTACTAGCATCAGCAAATTTTACATGTACGTGTTTATCAGCAAAATCTATTTAAAAATACAGAGAAACAAAAGAAATTTCATTGATATTATTTAATAGAAATAAATTAATACCTGGAAAACTCTGATTATGGAATCGATTAATAATTGCTTGACATTGTTCTTTATCATTCATGCGTGCAAAACCAACACCACGTGATTGTTTTTGTTGATCACGTAAAATGCGTACACTAACAACAGTACCATATTGACTAAGTGCTTGTCGTAAGTCTTGTTCTGTCATTTGAGGATCCAAATTAGCAAAATATAAATTAGTTGTATCTTGTTCTTGTTGCTGTGAAGACTAAATAAATATACGTAGAGTTGGTTATTTATATTTAATAAACTATATATTCTATATATATACTTTAGCTAATTGGGCAGTAAAACCCTTTTTTTGTAATTGAGCTATTGCCATTTGAGCATCTTCATTAGATTCAAAATCAATAAAACCAAAACCTTTACATTTATTTGTTTGCTTATCAATTATTGCTTTCATTGACTTAACTTTACCACAACTATAGTTTGAATATAATTATTTATTTATTTCTTAGAATAATAATATTTCTTAGTATTTTTACCCTTCCACAAGTTTAGCAAGATCTTGATCAGAATAATCAGGTGGTAAATTTTTTATATACAAATTCGTATCACTGAGATGTTGTTGAGTTTGATGAGATGATGACGATGATGGTGATAAACCATTATTAACTATTGTTTGATGCCCATTTATATAGGGTGGTCGAGATTGATCATAAACAACATGAGATGGTTGAGGCTAAAAGAAAAAGTAAATATATACAGATTTATATCTTTATATACAATTTCATACAACAACTATTCAAAACAAAAAAACGGACAATATACTGTTTAGTCGTTTCTTTCTTTTTGTATGTCTTCTTTTCTTTCACACAACTTATGTTATTTATTCTATATACAAACCCCTCCTGTCAACAATTCATAGCACACTTCAGCTGTTGTTGGTAATGGTATGAGCTGTGTTGCCGATGACGCGGCATTCCAGTCCATTAATCCGAGCAAAACAACATCGCTTTCCATGTTGAAAACGAGTGGAACAATGATGATAATAATAGAAATAGTAATAATAATAATAATAATAATAATAGTAATAATAATAATAATACCAGCAACAACTGTATATGTATATAGATAGATCGATAAAGAAATGTATGGACTATACCAAACTATTAGTTTTTATCGAAGATGAGAAAATGCTGCCATCTTGAACATGATGAGAAATACAGAAAAAAGAACGAGAAATGCGTACACATAGACAAGTCTCTATAGACCATGTATATCAAGCGAAAGAACATTACCGGTGCGTAATTTTGACTGATTATAGAGTAGGACGACAAGAGCGAACAAAGTGGCTTTCTGCATTCGTTCGTTTCCCCTGTCCTGGTTCCGTTTTTTTTTTTTATGGCAATACTAAAAGAGCATTGGCAAGAGGACGAGAAAAGAAGAAGAGAGACGTAGAGAGAGAGAGAGAGAGAAAGGGAGAAAACGCAGTAGTGAAATGTAATCATAGTAAAAACTCATCAATATAATAAGCCCCTTTGCACGAACAACACGATGCGAACATAACATAGAAGAAAGAGAAAAAGAATGAATGAATAGCAATGCAAATACTGTAGGAACGAAGCGAGGCCTAAATATTTGCCTTGCCAATGGGCGACAACCGACAACTATAGACGAAGAAAAATGTGCATATATACAAGATGTATTCTATTACATGTACATATGCATATACAAGAGAAAGAGAAGTGCATGACACATCCTTTTCTCTACAATATTATCTGTACTGATATTTTGGAAGAAGCAGAACAAACTTGTTTTCTTCTCTATTTTCATTTGCTCGTCAAAGATAGAACTCATTCGATTAATCGTTTAACATATAATATCACTTACTGAAAAAAAAATGAACCTCAACTCAACCTAACAAGACATGAGTTCTCTATCTTAATTGTTTATAAACAGAAAATGAGTGTGTTTTCTTTCTCTTGTGTATGTATTCATACATATACTTAAGACTTCGTTTTTTTTTTCTATATGATGCGAAACAGCCGCTTATACAAATCTTGATTCTCTCCCTATGTTGCTCTTCATATTTACATATGAAACGAATTCGGCCTATTGAAAAATCGCTGAGCGACGATAAGAGAAAGGAGAAGCCGGAGGTGGTCTCAGAATTAATCATAAATGCTTATAGTCGCTAGCATCATTTATTTTTCTTACCCTCCTCCTTCTTCTTCTTCTTCTTTTGAGTATAGTACTAAACAAATCGTATCTGTTAGTGCTACATTCCCTCTTCTTCTTCTTCTTCCTCGTCTTCTTGTCTTACGCTTGTCCTATCTTTCTATCTGTCTGCGTCTGTCTGATTGGGGATAGAAGTATAGTCAGCTATAAACAAAAGAGAAAAGAAAAAAGAAAAAGAGTCTAATCAATTCTAGCTCGAAGCTATTCTCACTGAACAACTTCAAAGTTTCTTTACTTCTATCGCATCATCCTTAATTGGCGTCGAATATTTTATACATACAAATTTCCAATGAGTATGTAGTAGAGAAAAGAAAAGATTTAACAACAAAATGC